CTAAAAATAATTGAATTGAACATTAATCATTTCTCAGAGTCAAATTTAAATATTATTAAGGATTATGAAGTTCATGTATTCACTCATAAACTGGTTATCAACTACTGTACTCCTGGTAATTTTAGCGCGCTACTATATTTCATGCTTTTCGCAAGTTTTGGAAAATCCGCGATATATAATAGCTGCAAAATTCCTACAGTTCTAATTTTCAAAATTTTGTAGTCACAAATTCCAAGGAAATTCAATGTTGACAATATTTTCGTTCAGTGCTGGGTGATAATAGGTAAAAATGTGACCTTTGGAGTTTTGAAAAAGAGAAATTAGAAGAAAGATCTTTATTACTGTATTAAAATGAACATTCAGAATTTCTAACGAAAAGGCTTAATAAGAAGCCAAAATCATCTGTCGAAGGAACAACCATGGCTGATATCGAAGTCGAAAGAGTGATCTCGTATGACAAATCCGTGAAAATTAATAGGCGCGAAATATCAAAAAAATGAAAATTAGCGAAATATAATAGCCACGGAATTTCAAAATGCCAAAAACGCGAAATATAATAGCATCAAATATTAGTGGGAGTACAGTATTTTTACTAACATAGAAAATTATTTTACTTACTGGACCCATTATTGTTGCTTGCCACTTGAACACTGAAATAAGAATAGAATCATAGTCAGGTCATATTATCCTACTATGTAAGACCCATACTCATTACTCGCTTACAAGTTTGATTTTCAATCAACTTTATACCTTGGTAATCCAAGATGATATTAATTAACTTTTTAAATGATATTAATCTTTGAAGTAGCCTTATAATATAAAAAATATGTACTATGAAAACTGAAATAAGGCATCCCACCATTTCATGTACCAAGCATTGCCATCCCCATATTCAGTGATATTTCTAACTTTTTTCAATATAGGCCTATTGTTCAGTACTGATGTATTTCTGCTAATATTATTACGCATGTCTTAATAAGTGCAGTAAAGCTGTACACCTTCATGAAAGTAGACAGTAAAATTGTACACTTGCATTTACGTAAACAGTAAAATTGTACATGATAGTGGTACAATAGTTTTAATCTCATAAACCAACAGACTTCTCTTACACAGTAGGACATGTGTTTGTCAAAAGCTCACAGTTTTCAATGCATTTGAGAAAAAACATTGTATTTCAAGAGTTCTTTATTACTTACTGTCCTTATCATCTATTGGACCTGCTGAACATTGTGCTGGGGGGTCCCTTCCAAGATCTTGTAGTTCCTGAAACACAAATAAGATAAATAATTTAGTATACAGTATAAAATCCTGCATATTTGAACACTTCTCAAATATGAAGTTTCTCTGTCCTAGTATTTCTTTCTTCAGACAACTGCTGGACAAAGCATTTACATGACAAAAGTCAACACCAAGTTGCTATTACAAAAGTGTAACCATTTGTTACAAATGTTAGGTTGCCACACAATCCCCACATACCAATTTGACTGTGATGACTACTGTCAGACTGTGTGGGGAACATGTTTTGAATTGCTCGCAACATTACACACTTTTATGCTGCCACTTCTACATACCTGAATAGTACTCTACATTTCAGCCCTTCACCAAATGTAATACTCTTACATTTCATGCTTTCTACCAAAAGAGGAAATGTTGGCACAATTATTTTGAGTTGATGTATGGCCCAGGTTGTGATGGTATAATTGTTCAGATGTTATTTAAGAACTAATTCTGAGATCTGGGTTTTTCATCACTCATTAATCTTTTGCGGTTTTTTTGTGATTAAATATCCTAATATTTCAACCAGAACAACGGCAACGCCAAAGCGTAGCGAATCCCATCGAACAGAGATAGCTGGCATTTTTACAAACGAATAGCAAATATCATAAAATAACACACCAGAAAGGCCACCATTTTCAAAATGGTTGCTCACTTGCCAAGGTGTCATCAGAAGAAATAATATGCTTTTAAGTAGCCACCTCTAAATTTTTGAAAAATCGCACACGTACTTGTAAAACAACACACATAAAAATGGTGGCCATTTTTCAAAATGGCCGACTACTCCCCAAAGTTTTATTAGACAATGTGCCATGCTTACAGTATTCACATATCAAATATGAACAAAATCGCTCCACTACTTTTCGAGTTCTAGTAAAATACGTTAAAATGGTGGCCATTTTTCAAAATTTTTTTCAAAATGGCCACCTTCTACCAAAACTGTCATAGGACAGTGTGCCATGCTTATAGTTTTCACATACCAAATATGAACAAAATCGCTCCACTACTTTTCGAGTTATAGTAAAAAACGTTAAAATGGGGGCCATTTTTCAAAAATTTTTTCAAAATGGCCACCTTCTCACAAAAATGTCATAGGACAGTGTGCCATGCTTATAGTATTCACATACCAAATATGAACAAAATCGTTCCACTACTTTTCGAGTTATAGTAAAATATGTTTAAATGGCGGCCATTTTTCAAAATGGCCGCCTTCTACCAAAAGTGTCTTTAGACAGTGTACAATGCTTATAGTGTTCACATAGCAAATATGAACAAGATCGCTCCACTATTTTTTGAGTTACAGCAAAAATCGTAAAATGACGAGTAAATGCCGCCATTTTTCAAGATGGCTGCCATGCGCTTCTTTAATATCTACATTTGTAGCATTATTAGTCCTTTATAATTTTTTTACATTTAAAACATATTGCTATTACAGTTTTACATATTGCACCTAAATTACTGTAAAATCGGCACTAAAATGGCCGCCATTTTGAAATGAGCGGCCATTTTGAAAATCGGCTTTCGAGCAGAACTTCTACCCCCATAGGGTATATGTGTACAAAATATGAACAAAATCGGGCCAACGGTATTTGAGTTATTGCCCGGACGGACGGACGGACGGACGTACGGACGGAGGCGTTCCCTATATCCCTCCGAACTTCGTTCGATGGGATAATTAAGCTACATCTAGTAACCAAAATTATCCCCAGGTCCCACCACTTAAATCAAAACACAATGAATTGCTCGTCAAATAGGCTTATTTATTATGTAACCGGTCAGTCAATTTTTAACATTCTTTGAGAAATATTCCTCTTTTAATGAAGTTGTAAATTGATTATTTAAGTTTTGATTTTGAAACCTTGAATGATGAAAATGTTTAGCATAGCCAGGATCAGGGAGATGAGGGGTTTGCCTTATCACTTTTTAACAAGTTTGGAAATTTCGCTTTTTCACTTTTTCCTTCCAGGGTACACCACTGCCTTTTGTGAGAGTGGGTGAACCTTGATAAAAAGTCAGAATACTCTTCCTCACAGAATAATTTTCCTCAAGGGAACTCTAAAATCAGTAACATGTACATATCAAAGCTACCAGAAAATAACCTGGTCATACTTACCAACTAAAATTAGAAAAAACATGATTTTCAAACATAGTATTTTTTCAACAGATCTTACACAAAATAAGGCTTAATATCACTTCAATTTTATCTAAATTATATTACCTTTTATCCTACACTTGTGTACTAAATGTATAATAACATTAAAAATAAATTTGATATTTATTGGCAAAATGAATAACCGGAGTAGGCCGAGGATATCATGACGATATACTCCAGAAAACCCAATATGCGGAGGGTATTGTGACAATATACTCCGCTTGTTGATTTCCCGTCAAATTGACTCTATTTGGCATGGAATTCATTTTGCAATGATATCATACATTTAGTACACTCCTTGTAAGTGTAGGATAATAAGAACATCCCAGGATATTTTTCAGAATATCATTTTAATCTACTCGGTGATATTGATATATGCACACGTTCGCTTTGCTCTCTCGTGCAGATATGAATATCACCAAGTAGATAAAAAATTCCTCAAAATCATAGGATATCCTATAATTATTACCCTGATATTATAGATGGTGTGGTTACCAACTGTGATGACAAAACACCATATCTAATATGAAAGCATGTTCTAGCATGGAAACATGGAAAAGTTGAAAAGTCCCTAAAAACAACAGACAATTTTGTGAAAATTTTCTGTTGCCTACTGCTAATGAAACCCCGGATATGTCAGGAAATTTTCAATAATACACTTTCCACAAATTAGATAAAACATATACAATAACATGGATGTTTTTTGATATTTTCAAATCTGACCCCTTTCAGTAATATAATACCATAACATAACAAACTTGATGATATATAGTTTTTAGAACATAATTTATTTGTTTTCTCCATAAAATGTTTACTAATAAACAAAGAACATATTACACTTTATCTTATGGACACCTTACGAAGATTTACAAATACTATGGAAAACAGGTAGCAAAATAGTTCATGCAATCAATTTAATATAGTAGATAAATCAATTGCTTGCTATAAAAACAAAAGGTCTCACATTTGGCAAATAAGTAGAAGTATCTTGTAATTCTGTATAATCAAAAATGACTGCCATGCCATATAGTCTGATAATAGATGCTCAAAGCTTATTTCTTGTATCGTTTAATTGTACTAGTTCGTTTGTTTCTTGTTGTATATCATATAACACATGCCTTAGTTTTAAATGAAAAAATGGAGGTGCACCACCCTCCCCTTCCCTCCTTCCTCAAAGTTTTTAATTTTGTACTTTCAAGTCTAGGAAATCAAAGCACTTATAAGAAAGTATTGATGAGTAAGTACAACCTGCTTATGTGATATTACTGATATAAATAAGTCAATTTCGAAATAAATCACAAATGTAAACAGAAATGTAGACTCCAATCATGATTTGCCTCAACATAACGAGGGTTGTTCAATAAATACTGATACAAATGGTCTCATTCTTTTATTTGTAAAAAGAATCAACATTTTATAGATTATTTATACTGAATTATACTCAATATCATGAATTCATTCTTTGTAATTTTAAAGTTCCCTCGAATATGGATGAGAGTCCTGGATCAGTTTTTTATTTTTCATTCATCACTTTACTCTAGTCCAAATCTTTCTTGTGGATTGATATAACACTGACACTTTTAGTTCAAGTAGGGGACCAAAAGGTGCAAGAAAATGATTTAAAATAGGAGAGTAGGTAGATGTTAATGATCTGATACCTCTGATATGATAAGAAATAATTTTGGACTAAAAAACTCTATCTTTAGCAACTTATAAGAAAAAAACTTAAAAACCTACTCTGGGTACTCTCATTCATATATATTTAATTTGCTGACTTTAATATTGTCCTGAATAAATTCTAAATTTCCATCTTGATTCCCTCACAAACAAGAAAATGAGGGCACTTGTATCAGTATTTATAATGCAACCCTGGTACTAACTGCAACATTAGGTTTTAATCAAATGACACCAGGAATAGTTTACAATACTGCAGAGTGAAAAACTAAATATAACTTTTGAGTGTACAATATTAAATCACAATACACATATAAATTGGATAATTTATGTAAAAAATTGTTTTTTAAAGTAAGACTGAATTTTTATTTAAGTTGAGGGAAATTTCAGGCAGTGTATGAGAAATGTGATTTAATATTGGCATATTAGGCTGTAAAATATGACAATCATTGAACTTCCTGTTAATGTTCCAGTGTTGATGATACCATATTCCCTCCAAATTACATCCGACTGCCTTATACAAAAGTCAATATGTTACATACAAGTCCTCGTTGGCTCCTACATCTTACTATACAGTCCATCATGTCGCAAACTTGGTGGTCCATTCTTTGGCGTATTTATTATATTTTGAACGGTCTGATTTAAAAATACGAGCGATGTCTGGAACGAGTGGATCATCTGGATTTGGATCACATAGTAGGGAGCAGATTGAGAGAAGGACTGGAACACACAAGAAGCAAAACACATCAACATCTACGATTATCCGGACGCATATTTTTCTGTCCATTCTTTGGCCAGTCTTTCATATTTGGGTCTATCCGTTTTAAATATACGTGCTATGTCAGGTACCAAAGGGTCATCTGGGTTGGGATCGCAAAGCAATGAGCAGACTGACAGAAGAACTACAAAACACAGAAAAACAGGAGCCTGTTAAATTTGTCAAAAGTAATAATTTCATAACCCAAATTCCATTTTCAACATATTCTTATTGAAGGGGGACATTTGAAGGAACAAGTTAAATGATAGCGACAGTTTTCACAAAATGAGCCAGGACTACAAATGAACCTTTTTGACCACTTGCAAAACTACACAATATGCAAGTGCAACAAAATACCAAACTAATAACAAATTTTGACCGAGGACTTGTAATTTTCTCTTTGTATCCCATTTCTCAAATATTAATTGTGACCATGTACAACAAAATATCCTGCTTTTGTGAAGTTACTTGAGTATATTAAGAGTCATCAACATTTCCGCACAAATATCTCGAACGAAATGGACAGAATGTAATAAATGCGTTGCTGTAAAACAGTTAGTACTTACAATCTAATACATATTCATACATCAAGGCAAGATGAGATATATTTTCTCTAAGAATCCTCCATATTTAATAATAAAAAAGAACAAAGTTATGGATGGAGAGGACTGCCAATATTTGGTGTTATTAAACTATGTTAAATTACATTCAATTAAAATGTTTCAAAAATGCTTGAAAACATATTCTGAGGAGAACAATTTGATCCTGAATCTGCATTAAATGTTACAATGAGACCAAAATATTTATTCATATCTTTTATACGTCTCATTCAAATGTTTGTGGAAATCAAAAAAGTTGTGAACTGCCATCTATACGAAGATCATTTCTTACCTTTAGATATAGTTAGTGCTGGTGACCACTGTGATCTAAGGATGTCCAGACAAATACTGCCGTTGCTGTTTATATTGGGGTGATATATTTTTGTAGTAAAAGCAACCTGGAGAATAAGAGAATATATGCACAAAGCTTGTCAGTCAACCTATGTTATCAACTTCCCTAGTTTTTGCGAAATCTGTTCTAAAATTAGACACAAAAAATTACATAAAATCAAATTTTGGGTGATTTTGGAACAAATTATACAGATATTGTCTCTTAAAAATGATACTTTGCAACTTAGCTGCTGTATAAAAATAATTTTAAAGATATTTCACTTACTTTTGGGGGTTTAAATGGGTAGTCTGTGGGAAAGTGTATAGTGAGAAAAAACACCCCTCCTGAGTATGGACTGTCTTGCTGAAAATACAAAGTATTCAAATAAAATATCCAGATTCACAATTCAAATCACTTTATTTCCTAATAACAATGTTCAATAATAAGGATGACACAAATGTCTTTACATATTCACAATTCCAGATACATTTCTTTCTTCATGATATAGATGTATGGAATTTTGATTAATTTAACATCCATCAAGAAATATCTCAAGTGTCAAAGAGTGACTCAATGCAGTCAGGTTCTAGTGAATAGTAAACATACGATGGCATGCTGCTTAGAGAAGAAAGAGGGAACAGCTGTGTCGAATTTTTAGTTTTATGCCATACATGTAAGAGCAGGTATCGAGCATAATCACTTTATATCCTTAGTAAATAAAAGGCTAAAAAAGTAAAAATTATTGGAATATTTCTGTTTGAAGCATTGTTGCCTGAAGTACAATGGAGTAGATTTTTAAGATTAACAAAAAGAGGGTAACAGAGGACAGAAAATCCCAGAGTTCAAAGATAACCTCAACTTAATGGAAATTTATATAGAGATTACTCTCATCGGCATTTGGTCAAATGACATCTGAGCTAAACAAGTTGATGGATTTAAAATATTGAAAAAATGTTTCCAATAATATAATGTTAATTTCTGGGGTATTTACCAATAGCTTGTTATTCCATGTCTAGATAATGAGAGATATAAGTAATATGTTTACATCGAGGTTATCTTAGAGCTCTGGGTTTTTCCGCCTCTTGTAAATAGGATATAAAAAACTTACTGGTCCCATTATAGTTGCCTGCCAGTGGAACACTGAAATAACAAAAAATGTACCAGTTAAGTATACAAACAATCTCACAAAGCATCCAACATTTTCATATTGACAAATGTATTTTGTTGGAAGTGAATACTGATGCAACAGTATAATAATCATGTTAAACCTTATTTAAGTCAATCATCATTAATTCTTTTCAAGATTGGGAAAGTAAGAAAAGAGACAGTTATTATATAGAAGACAATGAGCTAAACAGTGCAGTCTTGAGAATATGAAGATATTCACAAGATATGAAAAAAAACATCACAAAAGAGATCATAATATACTCTATAATACATATTTTACAAAAACAAAATGACATTTGCAGAGTTCATAAATACTTACAGTCATCTCCTACTGGACCTGCTGAGCATTGTGCTGGGGGGTCCCTCCCAAGATCTTGTAATTCCTAAAAACAGAAGTTATTTTGATTTATAATCCAAAGCTTAAAATCAGTCAGAAATTACATGTTTGTTCAAGTTGAAAAACGAATGAATATTGATTGGATATGTATTATCACATATAAGGGTACTCCTGGCTGAATGTTTTATAACTAAAGTATTGGTTTATACAAAAGTATTCAAAGGCCATTTTGATAGTTAATGAAAATGGCAAAATAAGTCGCCTGTCTTAACAGAATCAGGTGTCATAATTTACTGGCAAATGACCCCATACAAACATACAGCATAGACATAATACAGACTATCAATAAAAATCATTGGATTTTGTGCAAAGAAGACAAACAATATATTTAAAGATAATGGCAAGTGACATTAGACCTTCATACAGTGAGCTTGGAGTATTCAACTGACCTTCATACAATGATCTTGGGACTAATCAGTTGACCTTCATACAATGACCTTTGAGTACTCAACTGACCTTCATACACGCACCTTTGAATAGTCAACCGACCTTCAATGAACTTAATATATTGACCTTTGAGTATTCCATACCTTCATACAATGACACATGAATAGTAGACTGACCTTCATATATTTCCTTTGAAAATTGAAGTTACCTTCAAGCAAAATTGGCTGGTTTCCCCCTGTACAACGACCTTCGAATAGTCAACTGACCTTCAGACAATGACCTTTGAATATTCTGTTGACCTTTGTTCACCTGATGGAGACACATTGATAACTTCAGACTTAGATTATATTAAACATGGAAACTGACCAATGGTAGTCATTTATTATGTTCCATTCTCCCATCATACAGTTAACACCCATAAGACAGATATAATAAAAGCACTTTGACAAAAGTGTGATAATAACATTTTATGTTATCTTTATCTTATTATCCATGTTTTAAGACATGTTTACAAGGGTGGATCAATTTCTTAATTTCAAAATTACATTTTAACACTCTAATTTTATAAATACAAAACCGATTAAAGGTTGTTTAACGGAATTTAAGGTTATATACAAGATATATATATAGAAATGAATGTGAAAATTACTTTTTGACAATGCCAGAATCATAACACCTACTGAACTAAATTCTTCAAGAAATAACACTATTATTGAATTATGCGTATGTTACACCATATAGATAATGGCGAAAATAATTATCATCTTTGTTTTAATCATTTTAATACCAAAAATCACCTGCTGTTCTATTTGATACGCCAGTTTGAATACCATGATTGCTATAAACAACCTCTAATTGGTATATATTACATTATACAATTATTTAATTTTCAACCAAAGAGGGATAGGTTAGAGTCACGTCAACATAACAAATATGTAGAAATCCTTTTAGTTAAACATATCAAAACTTATAAAATACACACTGATTAATACAAAACTGATAAAATATTTGATTCAGATTTCATCAAAATGGGATACCATAATGTATAACGTACAAATCATTTGGCAAGAGCATTTTGAAGGATATAGGTAAAACACCGTAACATATCCCTCTTAGCTGGTTTATTTTGGAAAGTCAACATACCTTGTTTAGTTGAAAGTGAAACAAAACAAACTGCCATCTAAAATTCTGAATTCAGGATCTTCCAAAAAACAAAGAGAAAATGAGTGAACACATGGAATGATTCACAAGATTTGTGGTTTTCAATAATCAGACAGGGTTCTTGAATTTTCAAAATAATCAATGAAAAATGTTGATCAAAACTTGCGAGTAGTGCTACCATTTCAAGAGAGTGGTAAAATTAGAGGTTCCAGTTCCCATTAATAATGATGATTTCTATAACCGTGGATGGTGCAAATAAAACATGAGTGGTGCAACTTGTAATGTGGTTATTTCAACATTCAATACTGCCTCATGGAGAACACTGTTATAGAATTATGCAAAACTTTCCCTATATGCTCTTATCTCAATTTATCTATTAGTTTCATGTTATTGGTCAATAAAAATGAGACAAATCAGAACAAAAACATTGATGACAAAATGCTCAATGAATAATATATCCCTATTACAAATATAATAGAGTGATTCATAGAAAGGAATCATCAGATGTTAATCAAAATATAGTGTCAATTAATGTTGTGCAATATTATATAAGATGTCAATATTTGTTATGTTACAAACAATAACCTAATCCCTCCTTTGTTATACAAGAATTAAATAAAAATAATAACAAAATATATCAATAAAAATTGTTCAATCATACTTTCTGTAAATAACAAAGGTGCATGGTACTTTATCATTCATACTTTTTCTTATTTATCGATTCCTCGGCTAGCGAGGGGAATCCCCATTGAGTCACACAAGCCCCTTGAACCAGGCAGCCAATCAGGTTTATGATAATAAACTTTTGTAAGTAGATGGGTATATATGTGGTGAAACTCAATATGCAAAAAAGTCAAGAGGGGTCTTGATTGTGCTATCCTATGGCATAGAGCCTCTTTAACATTTGACGGCTACTTAATTAGGTGGTCTTACATATTGAAATGTACATACCACAATTTACTATATGAAATGCTGAATTTGGCGGCTACTTATTTTGGTGGACTTTTGCGCATCCGCCAAATTAAGTAGAAGTACAGTAACATGTTAACATGCCAATTATGATCTTAAAATAAAAAATTTGATTCTTAAAAGTAAATAAATGAAGTTTTAAAGATACTATCGGCTACCGGTAGCCGATAGTGAACAGATTGTAAGTCAATGTTACTAGCTCTTTAAATAGTCAGTGTTCGGCTTTGACCAGATAGCATGCAGCTACAGGATGCACTGCAGGTACCATTCATATTTATCTGAATTTCCACCACTTATTCATGACAAATACATATGTTGAAGAGTGTTATCAACTTATCATTAAAAAAATTCAATATGTTAAGATAAAACAAAACCCATGCACCTAATTTCATTTACAGAGGGTTCACTGGATTATTCACTATTTAGTCAACAAAATAGTTTCTTACCACCTATTACACATCCAGAAATAATATATACATTTAGAATATAAGTATGATATAAATGATATGGCATCTGAAAATGACTCAATAATACAATCACACACAAGTCAAATATATATAACTTGTATCAGCTGAAAAAATTGGTATGGTTCACATAATAAAGGAATTAGAAGGATATAGAGAGGGGAGTGTTGGTAGCACTGTATAGGGCTCAGACCGGTCGTGAAACTTCACAACTTACAAGACTCTATGGAAGTTAACTCATCACAATTCCTATTTTCAATGAAAAATATGACAAAGGTTACATGTTCTCCCATTGATTTTTACTTCCAGGTACGAGGACCTTCATCCGGGTATCAACATTTGAACCTGACTTATCACTTCCGATAACTGGTCTTGGCCCGAATATATCATATTTATCAAAATGTGAAAATTTTACAACATGTTTGAAACCTACAGCTGCCAATGACAGCCATTTTTCGCTTTTGGCAACAGACTTGGAAAATCAAGTCTTCAACCTAAGTCATAAACCTTGCTTTATGCATCGTTTAGTGAGCACAAATGAAACGTTTTTTTGTATATATATAGGGGAGATCCGTCGTACTTCGACGTACGGGGTTAGTACGTCACGGGGCTTCTATTCCATGGGGTTATTTTGGCAATTGCCGATAATTCATATTTCCAGGGCCAGCCATCTTGTATTAGATTTCGTCTGTTGGAGATTTCAACTTCAAAACAATGTTTTTTTGCATATATGAAGGCTTATATGTCAAGTACATCCTATCAATTTCCCAAACATCCCCTTCTAGCAGAAATTAACAACTGACAGTGATTCATAACTGATGTATTGGGGAAATAATCAAAATCTGACACATTTAGATTTTGTTGGGGATTTTTAATCATTACTCAGTCAATAAACTTTAGAAGACATTTGCAAACCTTACACCTATCACACATAGCAATAAGCGACCCACAATTGGCCTAGGCTAAAACAAAACTTCAAAATGACAAATGGAAACTCCCTGTAGCTCTAATTTTGTGTATTCTGAGAACTGTATTTGAAAATCTACATTTGGAGTGACAAGCATATGAAAAACAAAAAGTCCGTGATTATCATTAGACTTGTCAAAAAATTGATCTCTCACAAATGAGATGACATATTTATTACAGATTCGGGAAATCAAAAATGAGGAAGAAAATTTTCGAAAAAAAAATCAGAAGACCGGTAGAATCTTTGGTGGTAGGCTGAAATAGACGTACAAAATGGATCTATGAAGTTAAATAAAAGATATATTTACCTTGTTGATTCTTTTGAGAGCCATTATATGTTTGTGATCAAGTTATTCGGTGCTTAAATTGTGAGTGATTCAACTTCAATCGTCCCAATTTAGTTTTCAGTTTCTAAAATTCAATCACAAAGATGGCGGATATACGCACTGATAGAAGTACTTCGGTTTTGAATCACACGATTAAAATTTCAGTTTTAGCAATCGGACTCTTAATACATGATGAACTTAGGAAACTGTCATGCTTTCTAATGAATATCAAATGATTCAGTGGCACTCTCTGAAAAACTATTTTTTATTCACTTTAATACAGAATTATTTTCTATATGCGCATTTTTATTCTACGGGGCCTACATGCAAGGGCTAGTTACGAGACTTGACATCAATCGCGCGAGATTCAAGATGGAAACACTTTCTTCTCTTATTCGGGAAACCTTCCCAAATTACCTGAAAAACCTTCCAATACCACGTTCATTTGGTGGATTTGCTGATCTATCAGGTGCGTCTTTATGTTTTCATAAAATATGTGCATCTTACATATGTTTGCATCGATGATGTCTTCATAAAATGGACACACATGGGGCACTTCCGGGTTGTACAGTACAGTATTTTGCCTGGTGCACCCACCTATCATTAGTTTATAGAACAAAACATCAGTTATAAGTTTCAAACTATTCTATATTCATTAAACCGGATATCGCACATGTATGCATGTGGTATAATTTTTTTCCTGTGCGTATGTTAGTGACAAACTCCCAATGGTTAGGGTTTGTGTAAAAAAACGGCTAACTGGGTACCCGGTCGACTGGGTACCTAACGTTCCTAGCAATAATGACGTTCATGGACCGTGTTATCTGACGTTATTTAAATATTCAGCAAAACGTCGATGGATGGTTGAATTTCAACATTGTGGAAATGGCTTCAAAATATTTGTGAGTTAAGGAAATGTTACAAAGACGTCAATATGTTCTCACTAAATCGGTCCATTTCCGACGTTATTTTAACGTTAAAAGTTAACGTTGTCAAAACGTTCTTACGATGTGAAATAACCTCAAAACGTGACGTCGAAAATAACGTACATGTTTCATCCAGATCCAACGTTCTAAATAAAAAAAATCCTAACCCTGCAAGGAACGTTAAGTACCCGGTCACATGGTTACCCGGTCACCCGGTTTTTTACACAAACCCCAATGGTTATCCCGTGCTAGGACTAAGTCCTGCGAATGTCTTATTCTTTTGCCTGTACGATTGTAACATGGGAGAATTTTCTACGCTTCTTACACTTAAGATACCTATTTTAATAGATTCCTCGGTATTTTAGCATTCTTTTCGTGTAGTTGAATCAACAATTGTCTGGGTTTATTGGCAGAACAAAAAATTTTTTGTTTTTGATAGCAATATTTGCTTGTAATATTTAACTTATTTCAACCGTCAAATTCCTCCATTTTTGGCACTTCCGGGCCACATCAGGGTCAGTCAAATGGGGAATCCCCTTTTAAATCCAACTGCCATCTTGGAAAGTGATGGAATATCTCTCGATGAAAAAGAAAAATGTTCCTCTTCTGCTGATATACCCAGACAATTTTGGATTCAACTACACAAAAAGAATGCTAAAATACCCAGGAATCTATTGAAGTAGGCATCTTAAGTGTAAGGGGCGTAGATAATTCTCCCAAGTTGTAATCGTACAGGCAAAAGATAGCGCTCGATGCAGGACTATAGTCCTGGCACGGGATAACCCAATGGCATATTCAAAATTTGTTGAAAATAGCCCTATTATTATTAAATTTTCCAACAACTACACTATAGGTCAGGGGAAATGGTCTAATCATTGCACGGGTACTCGGTGAAAACTGCTGACAATTTCACGCTTATGCTGTCGCGACTTTTATTCCTGGCACAACAGTGAGCATGTTATTACTTGCGCATTGATCATGGCTTGACTGTGGAAGTGCTATCGTGAAAGATTGGTGCGACCATAGCCTTTATTTGACATTATGACTTATTATCCCACCGAACAAAGTTCGAGGGCGATATAGAAAAGCCGTCCATCCGTGTGTCCTGGCAATAACTCAAATACTGGTTGACGGATTAGCTTCAAATTTTATGGGCTTATGCCTTATTGGCGTAGGACCTCTGCTCGAGAAGGAATTTTCAATATGGCCGCTCAATTCAAAATGGCTTCCATTTTTTGTAAAAAATTAATCTTGGATAACTCAAATACTAGTTGACGGATTTGGTTCAAATTTAATATGCTGGTGCTGAAAGACAAAGGAGCTTTGCTTCAGAGATTTTCAAAATGGCAGCTGATTTTCAAAATGGCGGCCATTTACCCCCCCTGTAGTGGGCCCAGAAAAAATTTAGTTTTTGGGCCCAAGAACTTAGAAGGGCCTCAAAAAATGGGCCTTTTTGGGAATAATTTGGCCTTTCTAGGCCTTAATTGTGCCAATTTATCATAAGATGGGCCTTAATTTTTGGCTTAGGAGCTCAAAAGTTTTTCCACACTTTTTCAAGATATATTATTCGGCCCCCCCCTGTAAATTTCTGGATCCACCACTGATAGGTGACTTTTTGTTTCTATCATTCTAAAGGTTTGGTAATGATTTTAGAAAGGTCTGTTTTTTGCAAGTTTGGTCATTGTTCTTTGTTTCTAGTAGACTCAATTTGTGATAATGCTTGTCAATTTCCATGTTTTCAAGAAATAAAGACTATACATCAAAGATATATATGATTAAAGATTTATAACTCTTAAGAACTGATAAATGTAAGTACAATGTATGTTGTTCAAATTATTTATTAGAGAAACATGAAAAATTGAAAGTCATGATTGTGTCTTGTTTACTTTCAGGAGGAGACTGGTTTCGTTTAATCCCCTTTGTCGGAAGTGTATCACTTGTGGTATATGCAACTGTAAGGACCCTCTTACCACCACCACCCAACAGATCCGCATTATGCAACCCAGCTATACAAAAAGACAGCCCCAAAGTGGCAAATGTTGTTGATATTGAAGACATAGGAGAGAAAGCTGTATTTTGCAGGTGCTGGAGATCCAAAAAGGTTTGTTAATTTATATGTAATCTTTGTTTTGGAGTTTAAACTGCAGTACACTCCTTGAGTGACTCATTATCTAGAAAAAGATACTAAAAAATATTAAAAATAATATCAGCTTGTATTTGAGGAAATTCAAAGAAAGTAACTTGCTTTGACAAGTTAATAATTCACACACATGCAAACAAATATTTATGATTGTTTATTTGAGCTGATCAGTACGGTATCATGAAAATAAAACAACTTTTGAGTATCACCAAAAACACCAAAACATCAGTTAAGTATCGCAACAGCAAGCAACAGTTAGGTATCATAACAACAAACAACAGTCAGATATCACAACAACAAACAACAGTCAGTCATCACAACAACAAATAACAGTCAGATATCACAAAAGCAACCATAGATGATGCAAAAGCCACATGTAGCACACAAACCAAATTTTACTTTTCATTTACAGTTCCCATATTGTGATGGCTCCCACAATGCACATAATGAGAAGACTGGTGACAATGTAGGACCACTAATAGTAAAAGGGAAACAGTAGCTGAATCTTAAACAATCAGGAAATTCTCGACCAAATTTGGTATTAAGAACAGTGCATACGATTACAGTATTGAGATTAACATGTCATTGACTGATCATCGAGGAAAAAAATATCCATAAAACTTGATAATCATAAGAATGATATGGCTAAATAGTTCAGAGCAAAGTTTGTGAATATAGTTTAAACACTAATTTGTTGAATAATTTAAGTAATGCATATTGTTCAAATGGAAACATATCATGATATGATTTGACGTTGAGAAACTGTGCCTTCTTTGGGGAGTCTTGTATCGGAATTTCCGGACCTCCCTCTTCTCTCTCCTTCACTGACTGAACCTTCACTGAACCTTGTAGATGCGAGGGGTGTAGGTTGAAGTCACGAGGCCTTGAAACAAGATTCTTTTTGGGAGAAGAGATATTTTATCAAAATCTGTGTTAAATATGGCAAATAACTGCTGTGAATAACAATGGCTTCTTGAAATTGTTGGACCAATATCAGGGTACTACTCATAAATGCCAAATTAAGTTAAACATAAGAATGAATCAAAAGATTTTCAATATTTTTACTTAATTCTCATTTGTGTGAGCACTGAACTTTGCAGTTTTTCAGATCAAGAACCTTTTCATTCAATCATTGGAATATAAGAATATTAGTTCATGCGTCAATCATTTACTCCTTGGATTTTCACGAAGTGATGCTAAATATAAGTCAAAAAATATTTTTCATAATGTCAATATTCATAATGTCAATTGAGTTTCCTTTAAAACTGAAGAACATTTGCATTGATAGATGTCAGTCTATTCACTGAGAATTATGAACTGAGTCACAAACATTATCAAAGTAAATTATGTACAATATATTGGTGTGTCAAATAGTGACCGTTGTTCATAATAGCTCAAGTTCATCCATATCTACTGCAATCGATATTTTATACATAGTAGTTGTAGAAAATTATGGATGCATAATTTATGCATGATTGTTGATTTTAAAATGAATAAAGAGTATGAAATATTGTTGATATAAATAAAGGTTTATTTTGTTTTTTAAAGGGGTGAATATGTTTCTACAGCATTTTTATAAACTAAGTGTAGCTTACTCTTATTTCTTTATCAGATAGCAGGTGTGCATCCAGGGGGTTGTGCAAATTTCTTTGATTATTGGCAAAATTGACATTGACAGAACTGAACCCATTGATGATGTCTGGAGCACCAGTACTGACGAAGTAACATAGAGCAAAATGAAATTTTTGTTTTATTATAAAGAAAATTTAAGTCACCATAATGGCCAATGTGATGATATCAGATGAGAGTTTAGATTGATTGGAACATAGGTATCATGATAATAATCAAAAGCTAACACCAACTGATGAACATAAATGACACTGACATTAAAGGTGCAATTAGTGCAGGGGGGCCATTTAATGATCATCGGCCAGTGTCAAAATATATTTAAGTTTGGATATTTCATCAAGACTAACATGTATTTTTATTATCTACAAAGAAACCACCTGGATGAACATTATTTCAACTGATATTCCTCTTGAAACGTGGTGAATCTTTGAACTGCATTAACACTTCTTAATGCTGAAATTGAGTGTTTATCCATACATCTTAAGAAAATAGGTATGTCAAAGAAGATGTTAAGCCAAATATTGACCTGATAGCTCAGAAAAAAAAGATTTTTTACAGTCCTTGTTGCCCCTTTAACTAACAAATTATACAGAAAAAGCATGCTATTGATTTTAATTTTAGAGAGAAACAATCTGAAAAGGGATGACACTGTCATTAATTAGCAAATTATATAGATAAAAATTATGGTTATAATGCATATCTGAGAATGTACTAATATGCCAAAATCTGTCATCTAATTTTGGCAAACTGTATTGTTTATTAAGTTGTTTACAAAATACCACATTTTGCATTTTCATTCAAATGTAAATGTTACGTGATGAATGATACCTTTAATTTTTGGTATATGACATCATTGAATGATTCAAGTCTACACACATACGTATATGTGGCTTGGGGGAAACAAATCAAATTAGTTTTTGTGTAAATGTGTTTATAATTTGAAAGTGAAATACAGTTATTTGATTATTGTTTGCAATGGTGCCACTATTGAACTAGTCAGTTCACACAAATATCCTTTTTTAAATCACAATTTAGTATGTAGAATGATTTTGGACAAATATATCTACATTCTGGGAAATATCAGATGAAGATATACAAAATAGCCTATCTATAACTTATTTAGGTGCAAAAAATCATCAACAGGTAACATCTGTCAACAAATTATTTACATCATAGACTATATTTATAAAGATAAGTACATAATTGGAGCTAATAAAGAGGGACAGTTTTGACTTGGATTATAGTGGACACAGATTCCGATCCCCGTTGTATATGTGGAGGATAGGCAGACTCATAAGGATCAAAATGGATATATTTTATGTTCTTCTTTATATTACAGGTAATTTTGTTACTTTATTTTCATAATTGTCTGATTGTAAGAAAGATATTTTGGCCCTTACTTTTTGAAAACTTTTTATTTTCAGGCCCTTCCATCAATTAAATATTATTTTACATAGCACATTTATTATATTCTTTAGACCTTAAACTTTGGATGATTTTTTATTTTCTTCCTTACCAAAACGAATCTATTTGACTAAAATTACCACAAAAGTGACAATCAATTATAAAATGTGTGTAAAATATGCTCTGTATTCTGTAATATTTCTTTAATTTCAATACAGAATTTTTAATGGTTTAAAGGGGATAGACATTTATTAATGGTAAGTTATGCACTAATTGATGCCATGGGCAATGAAACACAATAAATTGTATGTTTTACTATGTAATACATGTTTCGGATTGATTTTCAATTAGACTTATGAATTTTGTGAGCTATTCATTTAAGCGTTGACTGGTTGGTTTCAATGATGTTACAATCACAATCAAGAAACACGTCAACTATATCTTCTTGTCCCCTACAGGAGAATCGTCTCTGCAAGGGAACAACCACATGTCATATACTTAGTCTCCCTGATCTATCTTTTTGATATGCAATGCAACAATTAGAAGACAGGAAAAGATCCTTGATGTATTGTTTGAATATGGTATTAAATAGATTTATTTATTTAGTTGTTTGTTGTTTTCAAATGCTGCCCTTTTATGCGTTTGAATTATATAGCATAGTACCATACTCTTTTATAACTGTCCAGTCTGAGTTTATCAGAATAGAAAAACCGACTCTGAAATGGAGACTGTACATAAACCATTTTGATGTTGACCTCTAATATGCAATAAATGCCAGGCCATTATAACAGCTCAAATTTTGGCGACCTCTTTATGATTTGGTAGCTCAATTTCAATCAACTGTGGTCTGATTGGGTATGTTTAAATCAAAGGATTAACTTAAACTCAAGGATTGAAGCTAAAACTCTTTTTTATCAGTTTACAGAACCAAAATCAGACTATTGGATAGGCCTATGGTAGCAACTACAATGTAGAGGTATCAATACAAGAGAGTCTATCTGAATGGCCATATTTCCCAGGGTTGTAGGCTAGGTGATTTGAAGTGTGACATCCAGAAATGTCAAAAAATCTTTTGAATCATACTCCTCCAGGAGACCATGGGATATAGTTGGTGTGTCTACTTAACTGTGATAACACATACTTTGCCAAAATCAACCAACCAACTTAAAAGATTCAAAACAATGACACGATTCTCAAATTGTCATGGAAACAGCCTAATGAATTGTCTCTGAAATATATCACAAGTCTATTGTTGCTGATCTTCACTCAAGACTGTAGGTTGAGATTTTAGGCTCGCATACAATTCATGCTATGTGTGAAATTATTTTGCAGCATTATCTGCCATCTACCAGGCTAATGGTGCAGTGATATCTACAAGAGAGCCTGAATCAAGGGACTATGATATGGACACCAGAATTCGATTGACATGCTCCAAGCCTTGTTTTCGTACTTATGACCCTGTATGTGGCAGTGATGGAATTACATATGGTAAGATCTATGTAGTGTCACCACCAGATAGACTCTGACGTAAACCTTCTCAGCAAGGGAAATCTTAAACCTGATTTTAGTTAATGGACACATTGGTTGTTTTGTTATTTAAGTTATTACACATGATGAAACTTTTATGATAATCACCAATAATTAACAAAATTGCATCTTAACAATTTTTGAAAGATAGATGTCTCCATTGTTCAAGCTGTGTAGCTGCACACTGATTTGCTTTTCAAGTCTTAATAGTTGTTAAAATTTTTCCCCTTACCTTTAGATATACAAAATTATAAACTATGAAGTTGGCAATATGACGGCCATTCTTGTATTTATTGTCCATTTATTGCAGCTCAACATAACATGTCAAATGCCATGCTTTAATATTCTCCCCTCTTGATTGTTTCTAAGATAGAGAGTGCCAATTATTCTGGAATTGATACTATATTTTCATATACCCCTTTGGATAGAAGCTTAGAATGAAGTCATAAAGATGACTGATTTATTGCGAATGTGATGGCCGTTCATGTGTTCATCTACCTGCCTAACATAGCTTTCTTGATGTGACATATGTTCGTGTTGTTTACGTCAACTGATATTTAGTGATTCATCATATGTGAATGTACATCTGTTGGCTGTGACAGTTAATTATGACCTAAATGACCCATTCTAGGATTCCTCTCATGTCATGCTAATTCTACTTCATTTCTCTCTGGTTTTATGCAATGTGGGCAATGTTGCTATACCCTTTGCATTCATTTGACTTCACTTCTTAAAAAAGAGCTTCATCTTCATCTGTAGTTTAACTGGACTCAGCACGCAGGGTAGTGTTGCTACGGCTACGTGCCTATTTCCTACTTGCCAATTTCATTTTAAGTATTGTCATGTAATAAAGGGAGATCATTTTCTCTCAACTTGTCTTATCTTTGCTTCCCCTTTCAAAATATTGGCCATTGTGACATTTTCTCATGTATGAGCACTCCAGTTTTACTCTCTTTGAAGATTGTGCCAAATTAAACTACTATTTGGAGTTTCATTGGGCATATAACACAGCAACTATTTTTATTCACTATTATTGCGAAAGGTTGCTGTACCTTATTCTATTCTACTACCATTAAGAATTAACTATAAGGTGTTTTCTCATGCATTGTGCACGTGTCTCCTAAAGGAAAAGGCCAATTCAAATTCAAGTTTTATGTATCATTACAAATATTAAAAAGCCAATCAAAAGATTGATGTGACTTAATTCCTTTCAAATGAAGCTAATAATACTTGATATTCTTGGAAAAAATGATGCATTCTTCAAAAATGGTAATGACTGTTTATGAAGGTGGTTTCGTATAGGACCTTTATTATAAAATGATTGACAGAATAAAGAAGGTCTGGGTGACTTGGGGTCATTGAATATAGGTCACTCAACTTATTAATTTTTAAACTTGCCTCAAAGATTTGTTTGATATTAAATTAGGATCTTTAATAAAGGAGAGTTACATTCATGTAACTTGAATTTCATTTTGTTCAAAGATTATTAAGAGGTCATTACTAGAAACAATAAACATAAAAGTGTGTTAAAAACATAAAAGTATATTTTATGGCTTTCAAATAGACTAGTCTTGTCTCTTAAAACATTGTGTTATAAATCTGAACTTGCAAATGAAATATGCTGTTCATGTACTTTCTATTGAAGGAAGCATTGTCAATGTGCTATACGTGTATACAATATTAGTTACTTTCTGCTTCAGGAAATCTTTGTGAATTCAGCATTGAACAGTGTGTTGCAGCTTACAAGGGGAAGTACATTTTTGTGACCCATGTCAACCAGTGTGTGGAATACACTACACCTAAGGAGCAGTCTACCCAAGGTATGATGATTTTTATGGAAAGATATCCAGACCTGTACAAACAATTTGGTATTCATCTTTGTTAGTTTACAGCTCATTTTTTATTAATTCTGAATGTACAAAAATGTAAATGCTATTTGTTGGTCTTTGTTTAATTCATAGAATTCATTCTAATAACAGTGAACCACAAATTTAAATATATTTTTTATGAAGCTGAATGTTATCCTCATACTATCCTTATGTACATTGTGTATACTTACTTACTATTACAGGTTATTGACCATTGTTGGATAGCATCAAGTTTGAAAATGCTTTTTGTCATCTTTTAAGGTGAGACATCAGCAGCAACATTGTGCCCTCCTGACTGTCCTAGCACCTATAAGCCAGTATGCGCATCTGATGGTAACACTTACAGTAAGTATGTGACAGTTTATATCGTATTTTTGTTATATAATAGTGCAATACCTCCTCCTCTTAAAGCAAAAAATGGCCAAAAGCTTTATATTATACATGGACTGACAAAATTACCATTTACCTTCTTTCCACCAATTAAAGCATGTTCTAAAATGTTAATCTTTTGACACCATCCCTTAATGTCATAGATCTAATACAATATATTGCAAGCCATATTCCTGTTAATGTATTTACCTGAATCGGTCATTCTTTCCTGAAAAGTAAGGGACCAAGGTACCAAAGGTGTTCCACTTAAAAGGTTTTACTGTATCTTTTAAATAAAAAGTTGTTTACTTTTCAAAATCAATGAATCATACAGGGTGTCCAAAAAACAGGACTGTAAGAAAGTTGAATAACTCGGTCAATTTTGCATATTTTGCCTTGAAATTTCAGAATTATTTAGTTCATTTAATGTGAATTTTGTTGTGAAAGTTTGATAATAATCTACCAATTTAGTCAAAAACTACAGCTCCTTACAAAACATGCCCCAAATGTGCAAATCTCATCTCTATGCACAATTCAATCCGTCAAACAAAGCTGTTGATGATCCTCCTACACACATGTCTTTCTGAATTGACAAGTTTGTTCCAAGAACAATTGCTACTGGGGCTTACATCCTCCTGATGAAGTGTTACAGTATCCATTGCATTCTGAACAATGCACTCCCTGGGTGGCAATGAGGAAACATGGAATCATCAGTCCCTTTTGGTTCGAAGGTGACTGGGGACTTGCTATCACCATGAACAAGGACCAGTAAGTTCTCACCAAGTTTTGGAGGTCACTAAGCACCAGAAGGGACATCTAAGGGGATAATTAAGCAGTGGTTTTAACAAGCCAATACCACCCCAACACTGCAAATGATATGCTGAAATGGTTTAGGCAATGCTTTGGTGGTCACCTCATCAGTTGGAGAATGCAAATCATATGAGCAGCTCATTCGCCTGATCTAAATCCCCCAAATTTTTATCTTTGAGGATTTCTCAAAGTCAATGTGTATACTGACAGGCCCCTAACAATCTTAAGAGGGCAATAACTACCCCAATATTTACCATCCACATTAATGTGTATAGGTAAGGGTAATTAACAACTTTATTCGCATGATTCATTTATGCATAGAGAGGAGAAGTGCCCACTTTGAGCATGTTTTGTAAATGACTGTAGTTTTCGACACAATAAACAGATTATCATCAAACTTTCAGATCAAAATTCACATTGAATGAACTAAATATTTCTTAAATTTCAAGGCAAAATATGCCAAATTTACCGAGTTATTCAACTTTCTTACGGTCCTGTTTTTTTTGGACACCCTGTATTACCTCTCCAAAAACCTACACATTACTTTCTGTGATGACCACCCCTCTGTCTGCTAACCCCCCCCCTCCACTCCTTATCCACTGTTCCTTCTCACATAAAACTGAACAGTAAAGTTTGTGTATGTGAACACTTGTCTTTCATAGGAATATTCTATTTGATAAATTGATTTATTGAATGTAAATACTACATGGACATCTTGAAGTATATAACACCTCTTGTTTGATCTAAAGAAGGCATTCAATACATATTTCAGAACAAAAATGATGACAAATTTAAAATATCAACAATAAGTGTTCACATAAACAAACTCTACCTTTATATGATTGTGTTTACCTTATTTTCATATTAGGAAACTTTTGCCACTTTATCCGAGCACGATGCATCATGCGATTTAAGAATGAGGACCTACGATTGGTTCGTTTCCGAGCATGTAATCCTGCCTGCACATTGAAATGTTCTGATGAGTACATTCCTAAATGCGCCTCTAATGGTGTCACATACAGTAATTAATACTTTTCTTTTTCTTTTCTGTCAACATATAAAAATCACCCATTGTTTGAAATTTAACCTAACCTTGCATGTTCTATTTTTAATGTTGTTTTTATAATTGTTGCTTATGATCTATGTAAATTGTTGTTTTCATTGAGGTATCTTGACTTGAACTTTTCCCTTTTAATGCATAATACCCATGATCATTTGTCTTCATGCGATCATAATGTGCAAAGGATTGTGGGTATTATGGGAAAGTTCAGAATTAATGGATTCATTCACACATTTATTCATCCATTATTAATCGTAATCATTGATAATTATCATTATGACTTTTAGAGAATCCTTGTGAGTTTATCAAGGCAACCCGATGTGAAGCTCGAAGCTCGGAGGAGACTGTGATTATTAGTCATGATGGGCCATGTGTAGATAGTGTACGAACAACACAAGTTGAGCCTACTGAATCAGAAGAAGATTGTGATAGATTCTGTATCACTGTTTATGAGCCAGTCTGTGGATCTGATGAAAAAACATATGGTACGATTTGTTTCATCACCCATTTTTGTATGAAATAGACTAGGCTATTTGTCAGTTTGGATCAGTTCAATATTCTGGCAGATGATAGCTCAGGGGTGTAAGACTGAACCTTGTAATTGTCTCTGATCTATGGGACTCAACTGGCCAACTGGCGACTGGTATCACAGTGCATTCTGTGATGTTATAGTTTGGAATTAATTAATTAATTCTTCAGGTTATTTTATTTCAATATTATTTATAAACTAATAACATGTAACACATGTCGTTTTCAAGTTTATCACTTTTCAATCCCCTTCCCTTTTTACAGAGGTTACTGACATGGTGCCGTAGAAGCTCTTTATATATAGTTGAATTTAAAAAACAAGATCATAGAAATTGAGTAAGAGATTTTGCTTTTCCAGGAAATCTCTGTGAATTTGCTGTTGGAGCTTGCAAGGCGAGAAGAGATGGGTCCACCATCTCAATAGTGAATAATGGAGAATGCGATGATGGTAAAGAGGTTGGCATACTTGAACCAATGGATGGGGATGATATGAGTGGAAACGGAGAAGGCAGTGGTAATGTACAAATGTAGAAAACTTTTTGAAAAAATGAATTCCTGTTCAATAAAGCTTAATTTTCCTAATACAACTTTTCCAATATTAAAGTATAATTCTACAATTGTGATATTTGTTTTAGAAACGTACAATCATTTTATCTTGAGTCAATGTTATAGTTTTTAAATAGATATTGAATTGAATGAGTTTCAGTAAAAATTACAACAACCATATGATGATCAACAGAAATGACATAAAAACATGATTGAAAATCAAATTAAATAAAAAAAATCTGTGTACCATTAGTCAATACACATTTCTTTCAAAACTGTTCAATTATAAATTGTTTGATTTTGTATTTCTGTAGGTGATGAAAAAAACCAAGTATGTCCAACTATTTGTACTAGAGAATTCAACCCTCTTTGTGCCTCAGATGGAAAAACATACAGTAAGAAATGTCCTTTCTTGTTTTAAATAAACCGATGAGCAAATTTTCTGTTATACTGCACACACCACTTGTCCATTATTCCTTAAACTCACTTCTCTCTGGAATATTACTACTGTATGTGATTTCTCAAAGCCTATTGTGTCTGGAAATATACTTATGACTTTGTAAATACTTCACACAATTACAATTGCATTTTTTAAAGATTTCGCGAATATGATTTTGGATTTTGCGATTTTAAAACTAAGGATTTTGCATCAAAATTTTTATTTTGCAAAACTGCATTGTGATCACAGAAATGCAAAGTTCTATAATTGCAGATGTTCCGAGAATATGATTATTAGGAAAGTAATTTTGAATGTCCATTTTGTCAGATATCTCAAAATGTTTTCAACAAATTTTAGGAGGGTCACCAGAAGGATGAATCAGATGATAACAATTCATTTAGATTATATGTATAAAATACATGATTTCTCCTTTGGAGTTTATGATCACTTGAGGCGGACAAAGCCCTTGAAAGTCAAGATGAATAGTTATAATGATTCAAAATTCTGTTGTCAGATAACCCATGTCTGCTGCGTATAGCTGTCTGTGAGGCTACCAAAAATGGCATAACGGATCTCAAGAAGGTCAAGGATGGAGCATGTGATGCTGAGCCAAAGCCTAATGAATGCAACAAGGCTTGTACCTTTGACTATAGGCCAGTTTGTGGGTCAGATGGAAAAACATATGGCAAGTTAATTCATGTTTAGAATATTTGAATATATACTGTATTTGACTTTAATTTCGCGAGCGTTTTAAATTGGAGAATTTTGACGAATTGAAAAAATCGCCAAATTAAATAGTCGCCAAAATCGCCGGGAATACAAAATGTTTTTCATTCGATGTACTTTCGGTCATAAGAAAGATACCAAGATGGCTGGGCTGTTTAAAAATGGAGAAACAACAAAAATATTGAAGAAAATATAAACCACAAGAAATATTGAAGAAATTGTTCATCAACAAGACTAACAATGAGTATCTTGAATTGGGTTGGATGAGAAGATGTCTGGGACACTTGAAGAACTGCCAAATTAAATAGACGCCAATAGGCCCAAAAACACAAAAGCGCCAAACTTTTTGTGAGTGGTGTTTGGCGGTGTTTGGTGACCTTTGTATGTTAATGCCTTGTTTAATCTGCAATTGACTTCATTTTGATTTGACAGATTCTACAAATACATATTATATATAAATGAACAACCATATGGCCAACTTCATATCGGCCTAAAACCCAATGACTATTTTGATTGACTTGTTTATTTACAGGTAACCAATGTGCCTTTGATATCGCTCAATGTAATGCTGCAAACCTTGGTCAAACATTGACAAAACTTGGTGATGGTGAATGCGTATCTATAGTATCAACACAAGCCCCTGACAGGCCTGATTGCAATAAAACAGTTTGTTCTCAACAGTATGAGCCTGTATGTGGGTCTGATGGAAGAACATACTGTGAGTTAAATAATGATGTCAACATTGTTGTTTTTGTTTCAACTTTTCTTTTCGTTTGAATAATATTTGACTTCCAAATTACACAATTTGCATTAAAATCAAGATTTGAAATAGTCATTTCAACAGTTGTTAATTGTCCAGCATGTTCAAGCAAAGTTAATCCTGTGGTTGCAGCTTAACTGTATCAGTGACACTGTCATCAGTATGAGAGAAAGTTGATGTTTAAATCGAGAAACTTGTCAGCTTTTTTGCATGCTATTTATCCATCTATAGTATGTAGCAACTAGTTGCCTATAGGGCCATGTCAGCTTTTAATAGAACATATATACACATAGATTTAAAAGAAAGTACAATACTTATTAAAGAATCTTCTTCCATCCTGTATGCTCTGTATTGTTATTCCACTTCCACCAGAGACTTTACTAATGCTTGTCCAATATATTTTCAGCCAATCAATGTACGCTGGAAGTCGCGCAGTGTGAAGCGAAAAGAGTTGGATCAGAATTGACTAAAATAGGAGATGGAGAATGTGTCTCCATTGCTTCTACTTCCACTGATGCTCCAAAGGTTGTCACGACAACACTAGATCCTGAGACAGATTCATGTGAGAGAGTTTGTGCGAGAAACTTTGATCCTGTGTGTGCATCTGATGGAAAAACATATGGTAGGTTTTCAGGAAAGTAATACTAATGTTCGCTGTACAGTTTTAGTGTAGATTCCAATTTACTTATTTTTTTAAGATAAGAATTAAGAAAAAATCACATATGTAATAATTAAATGTTTCACATGTCTCATAAACCCAGTTTTTTGTTTTGTCTTTATTTAATTTTTTTTATTTCAGAGAAGAAAAAACACTTAAAGTAATTGCAAAAACGATTACAATATAGTTACATGGAAAACGTATTTTACAATACAGTATTGGTTATACGTTAGTGTTTAAGAATTTTATTCCTTTGGGATTTTTTTATTTCTAGGAAAAATCATCAGTGTCATCTGTTTAATTTTGCTTCTATGATTTTCCACTTATCACCTCTGCCAACTCATTTGTCAATAATTAAATATTCCTTCACAATACTTTTAAAACCTCTAAGTGTTGGTTTTAGCATAGAATATTTGCACAAATAAACATACCTTTTAAAAATACATAGCATATTATTTAGGATGATTGTTTTTTCATTTATACTCTCAGGTCCTATCAATACATTTTGTTTAGTACATAGCAATGTGAGCTCTAAAGGGAGCCATTGTTGATAAACCCAGTTAGTGCTTTGTGTGACACTCTAATAGAATAAATAGAATAAAATTAAAATGAATACTTGGTTTTCAGTTTGAAACCTCTCCCTAATTTTCTCACAAATGTGTGTGTATGTTAATCCAGCATACTACTAGACTAGATTAGTAAACAATCAGAGACAGCTGCTGGATGGCTGATTATATTCATATGCACTGGTCAGTATCAAGCGAAGGGAACGGCCGTAACCTTCACACCAAAGATGGCGCACGGTAGTTGTCGATTTCGATATTTTTAGTTCTCATCGAATTATACTACTTTATTGTTGACGTTATGCTTTGATATTTGGACCAAATCAGGCTTAAATGATATCTTCCACCGCTTAAGGGAAGGTAACTGGGATTGTGATTTTACAGATGATAAGGTTACTAATATGCAGTGATGCGGTAATGTTATGAGAGTTTATAATGGAGAGCTAAGCTGTCCAGTAACTGTATCACATTGATATAACATGACCGTAGCCATGACCAGTTTCCTTCCCTTAACAAATTATCACACTCCAATTACCACACTTGCTTCAAATATCAAAGCATAACGTCAACTATAAAATCGTTTAATTCAATGAAATCTAAAAATGTCGAAATCGACAATTACTGTCCCCCATCTTTGATGCAAAGGTTACTGCTGTTTTCTTTGCTTGATACTGGCTAGTTATATACAATGGATGTACAAAAACGTAAAGTGACTCATTCCATTATCTTACTTGTTAAAAACAGATAAAGTTGAGCATACGTCACTTCATGTTTTTTTAATTATTTCTTCGTTAACTGTGCTTATAATGATAAAATATTAAAGTTACAACAAAATATGTTTCCAGGCAACACATGCATATTTGCGATTGGCGTCTGCCGAGCTCAGAGAGAAGGTCGTTCCCTGCGAATCAACTATAAGGGACATTGCAGGGCCTAATGACCAAGGATATATGATAAAAAGACACTTGTTATTGAACATTTGAGCATCTTAGTTTAAAGGCCCCATGCAAATTCTTTTTTATTGAATACTTTTGTCATGCCTACAAATGTTTGAAAAGGTATTTGACTTTTAATTTCAAATATTTGAAGCACTTTTGCTAAGAGTTAAGATTTACATATTGCCAAATATTCATCAATGCTTTGTAAAACAACATTTGAAAGATTAAGTGAAAGCTGTTTTATTTTTATAGCATCGTAGTTATGTCAAGTCACAAAGTAACACTTTAACAAAGGATGTACACTATTTTGAGAAAAATTTTCAAAAATTTAAAGATGGCCCAAGTACTCTCTTATATAATGAAATGTTGATTGACAAAATGTGTTTAAGTATACCACTTTCTATGTACCATTTGATTTTGATAGAAACTAGAAAACATTTTGTCATATTTTATGATTTTTTATGATTTTGGTTCAACTTTTTATTGTTATTAACAAATTTTCCTAATCATAGTGTGTCAGTTGTCTATGACCCCCAAATTCTAAATTTTCCATGGGACCTTTAAATCAAATAAGGACTTGGATTTATATAATTTAAAACTGGGACACTTAAATACTTAATAACATATATCATACTTACTACTGTAGTATTTATTACATATAGTCCTATATTTTTTAGGGGGCATGCCCTGTATTTTTGGCCTTGGCACATGTGGTATTTTCTATGCACGAAATGGTTATCTTTGTGCCTAATTTTTAAAATGAAATATAAAAAAGTTGTATATGTATTGCAACCATGTTTGCTACTGTTTGATTTGGCCATTTTGTGTCACCTCAAAGAAAAGTGACATATTGTTAGAGCCTTTAACTTATTTTGTGATGTACAGTTGGCTTCATTGGTCAGCCTCTTAAACAATTTTCACATTTTCATACCAATTTGCAGGTGGAGACATTTGGCCTTGCTATCGTTGAATTTGCCTAAAATGATGCCAAATGTACCATGGTTACAGTATTTCTTTGGTTTACATCAAAAATTTTCAATTTGAATAGGATATTGTTCATAAGTAAATAAAGAACTTATTTACAAACAAAATGTTTTTATTATGTGAAAAAGCTATTACTGTGTTCTATGAATAGTGACATGGTCCCTGAAAAAGGAGAATACAGAATTGTGGAGGGGAGCTATATTTAGTATTTACTCTGACAACGGTTTAATATTTTTGTTTTGAAGTATCTGCAGTGAAATTAGCGATGGCCTTACCAGAGAATCGTGATTGTGTAAACAATATCACTGTTACAGTCGCTTTGGGACTGAGTGTCGGATTAACAAGTCCGACTCTCAAGGGAATATGATAAAATTGTCCATGCCACTTGATCTTATTATTGTATCGACTATTTCATTACTGTTTATTCTATAGACTTTACTGTACACTAATTGGGAGACGCTAAGATCATGTAATACAAGGTCCCAATGGAGTCAGTTATAATGGTTGAATGTGGGTGAAATGTTTCCATTGAAATCAGAAATATTTCAAATTCACCATGAAACTAACCGTCATATACATGTACACGTGTGTATTTTCATGCTGATATATTCATAGGATTCACAAACGGGAGTTAGTTGATTCTTATATTGTAATAAAACGGAAAGTGGTAATTGTCAGAAATGAATAGGTAGGATTTATAGAGAGTATAGGATTAAATATCTCATTTATAGTCGTAATAAGATGCGAATAAACGCATCTAGGGGTACAATAAAGTCGTACCTAGAAACCCCTCGAGTACTTTAAGTGAAGCAAACGCTACTTTCTTAGGCGGTGAATACTCAATTATTTTATCTTTCTGTGCCAATTTTTCTAAGTAGGACTCGGACTGAAATAAATATGAGGATAATCCTGTGATGCAAGCTGTTCGAATTGGGAGTATTAAAAGCGAAAGTTAACAACGGAGAAAAGGTAAGATATTTGAAATGCATTTTATTTTATTCAAAAAAATACAAATGCATACAGTTCGAATATTCCACTTTGGTCCTTTAATTGCTTAATTTCTTACTTTTGATTGAGATTAACCCATGGAAAAGTATTCCGGACTCAAAGCTCTGACACGTCAAGCTAAGATGTTAAGAGAGGCCCTGTGTTTCTAATTTTTCTATCGTCCCTGTGTCTCACGGTCTCTGAAATATAATAAGCTATTTTAGCATATCAACCGTGTCAGTCTAAAGATGATTAATTTTAAAAAGTCGGTAAATGGAAATAATACATTTTGGCATGACTGAATATATTTTTCCTGTTTGGTTATTGGTATTCATTTTTATATCTGGGGTTAAGTACTAACGAACGAAACAAGCGACTCTATTGGTTAAAAGACGATACACAAGAGGGAAGCATATCCCAGAATTCAGATGAACCCATCTTCATGTTAAGATGATCTTTACATGGAGCTAGTTTCATATATGAGTTCTGGGGTATTTTCTTCCCTTATGATACGTTAAAACTATGAATTGTACTGTAATTACCTCTTCATACAACTCTGAAACTCGCAAAGTGCAAGAATAGAGAACAATTAATGACATGTTGTTTTCTATTGCGAGACACTTCATAAGAAGGTTCACTATTTAAATGATTAAAGGGAATTCTGACTTTACTGCTGTATATCCACGCGATACTAACTTCGTCCGTTAATTTGAATTTTTGACATACCGGATGTTTGAAAATCAAGGATTGCGAGTCTCACACTGCACCGTTTTTCTTTAAACTTATACCATTAAAAGCAAAACAAAATTGCCTTTCTGTCGGTTCATTTCTTTTTTGTAAAGAGTTCCTCGTTCTAGCAGCGTTTTGGTCCCCAGCTGTTAGAAGGCCTTCTTAAAGCTGGGGACCAAAATGCCGCTCGAAGTAGGGACTCTGTTTAGAAGAATAATGTACCAACAGAGAGGGATTTTTGTTCTGCTTTTAATGGAACAAGTTTGAAGAAAACGGTGCATTATGAGACTCGTAATCCATGATTTTCAAACATCCGGTAGGTCAAAAATTCAAATTAACGGTCGAAGTTTGTACCGCGTGATATCACACTATGCATTGCTTTACATCATAAAAATTTATGAGCGGATCCTCTAGAGACCTCGCCTTTAATGGAAGGCGTCTAATGGATGAGGGAAACGCAAAGTGCAAGAATAGAGAACAAAAATTACATAACAACCCCTAGGAATTGAGATTATATAACTCAGATCGCACAACACGGTCAGACAGCCCACAATCTTTCAAAGCAAAAACGCCCATCAGTCCAAACATCAGAACAAACCCGAGGATAAAGAATATAAAAGAACCTCCATCCATGAACAAAACCAACGCATCTGAGTTGATGAAAACACGTTGTTGACATATTTTGTGAATATTTGTAGATGTACATTTAATAAGGGAATGTCTAACATTAAATGTAAAATACGAGGGGTGATTCAAAAGTAATGGACAAAATTTTATAGGCACGCTTACCTTTACCAGATTTGAATGAAACTTTGTACAAATAAAGATTAATCAATTATCTATTAGATGTTAAAATTTTATTAACTAAATGCAAATACATTTTGAGATAGAGCACTTCTCTTGGATCATGGTGCATACACCCGGAATCCATTTTTAAGGCTATTTTCATCATAATAACAAATGGATTTTCAATGAAAAGTTTGCTGGTGCAATATATTTTGCAATGCAAGATGTATATGAAAAGCATATCGCAGTAAGTTCAATAATAATCCATATCAGTCCTTATTATTCCTAATGATCATCCATTTGAATTATATTCAATCCTCAATGTATTCTCCTCCAAGTTCAATTACTTTCTTCTGTCGGCGCACCCATGCAGAGAACACATGCCCAAATCCATCAGCAGCCATGGTGTTCAGCTGTTTTTGTACAGCCATTTGCAGCTCAGCTAATGTCTGAAAGGATTGTCCCTTTAATGCCATCTTAAGGGTGGGAAAAAGATAGAAATCACAAGGAGCAGTATCAGGGCTATATGGAGCATGTGGAAGTTGAGGCATGTCCATGAATGCTGCAAGAGTATCCTGAACTAGCTTGGACCTGTGTGCTGGGGCATTGTCCATGTGTAACAAACGATTGTCTCTTGTGTCTTTCCTTTTCTTTTGAAGTGCCTGTCCAAGATTGCATTTTAGAACCTGAAAGTGAAATATCATTATTTATTTATTCATTCATTTATTTATCTATTTTCAAATTATTAATCTTGCTTAAGCTATTATGACTTCATTCTCTCCTTTTAAATTGACATTGATTAAAACGGATGAAAATATCATGTTTACCTTGGTGAAGTATTTCCCTGTGATAGTCTGATGAGGAGGAACATAGTGGGTCAGGATCACGCCATCATAATCGAAGAAGGGAACAATCATCACTTTGTCAGAGGATCTGCTTTGCCTAGCCTTTGTTGGGCGCCGCTCACCCTTTTTGATATACTGTGTAGATTGTAGTTTAGTTTCTGGATCTCTAAAGTATAGCCATGATTCGTCAGTAGTGATTATACGCTTTAGAAATCCTTCTCCTTCAATGTTGTATTGCTTCAGAAAATCCTGCGCAACTTCGACACGTTGTAGCTTTTGTTCTTCGGTAAGAAGCTTAGGAATCCACTTGGCACACACCCTTTTCATATTTAGGTCGCATTTTACAATCCTTTGTACTGTAGAGTAGGAAACATCTGTAATGGAACTTATTTCTCTCAGTGTCAATCTCCTGTCTGCATTTAGGATGGACTCTACATGGTGAATAGTGTTATCAGTGCGGCCAGTCTTGGGCCTTCCAGATCGCTTTAGATCTAAGACTCTCGTATCCCCTTCACTAAAGTGTTTGTACCATCGCTCAATGGCTTGCCTTGACAAGGCCTTGTCTCCATGTGTCTCTTTTATTTTCTTGACAACTGCCTGCCTTGTCTCTCCAGTAGCTACCAAATATTCAATAACAATCCTTTGCTTAACTTTGATTTGTTGTAAAGTAGACATTTCTTGGATGTGTGTGAGTCTAAGAGTCTGATCTACTTTCTGACTCACTGTGACTCATCATTCTTAGAAATATCATTGTGATGTCATAGCACAATTGGTTGCTGAATTTAGAACTCAACAGCAAACACATGGGCATGTGAGTCTTGCTTGACAATTGCATTACCATGCTTGTTAGACATATCATGTGTGGTAATTGAGTCATTAAAACGAAATCAAGCAAATATGACAAAACCATTCAATTATCATTAAAAAACCAATTCCACCCATGCTTACCCTTGTTACCATGGTTACGCATAGCTGAAACAATTTCAAATGCATTTAAATGAGAATTCGACACAAAGTAGAGAATTGATTGATCTATTCACTGTGAAAAAATTAGACTGATTGGGTGAAATTTAGTATGCCTATAAAATTTTGTCCATTACTTTTGAATCACCCCTCGTACATCATAATCCGAACGTAGCTAGAGATGCAGACATCATCCACTCAGTACGTTCCTCCCTTCATACAGTTAACGTGTGTTAACGCAGATGACAATATATTAATATATTTCAATTTCCTATTCCCGAGGATTATTGCTTTCCTCTCGACTAAAGTGTTGACTCTGTGTATCAATCCAAGAATCTACTTGGATGAGTTTAGTGGACTAGGGGGGGGGGGGGGGGGGCACTAGGGTAATGGCCAACACATTTGTATGCTTTTAAATGCGTCACCTCTACTTGCCGCCATTGACGTTTCTGACATGAAATCCCATTGTCGTGTAGTCTGAGCACTTATTTTAAAAGTGTCGGTTGAAAGGGTATCCATTTGCCAATAAGTTATTAAGTTAAAATTGTTGACGTTACGTAAAAATGGTCATTGACTCACTGCTTCTATGGTCCATTCTTCTTCCAACATGTTTTTAGTTCTACCATGGGCTTTCTATGCTGGTTGTTTTGCTTGATTTTATGATATATTGAGGAATGCTTCAATTTAAGGCAAACCTTGCATACATCAACATAGAGTGAATAATTACACTCCCCTCCATAAATTGGACAACCTATCAAAACCAGTCAAATCACCAAACATATCAAAGTTATCC